TAAGGCCAGGAGCCCCTAGTAGCATTCTTGCTCCTAGTAGCGATGCCTGGAGCCCCTAGTAGCATTCTTGCTCCTAGTAGCGATGCCTGGAGCCCCTAGTGGCTTCTTGTTCCTAGTAGTAAGGATGCTCCTAGCAGTATGGCCAGGTGCCCCTAGTAGCGTTCTTGCTCCGAGTAGCGATGCCCTTTGTTACTAGTAGCTATTGGCTCCTAGTAGTAATTTGGAAAGCCCTTTTGTTTTTGTTTCCATGTTTTTTGTCCGGGGGGAGGTTAGGCCGCTCTGGCTTCCTCTAGGTTGGACGCAGGATAGCTCGCGCTTCTTCAAGGAAGCTCCCCCTGCCAAGTGCTCGCACTATTATGGTTCTTCGATAATCAGGTAGACTTAACTAGGAGTATTCAACCAATAGCCCAAACTTTGACTTTCAGACGATGTTTCTGATTCTTTTCTCGCTTTCCTTTCTTGGCTAACTTGGCAGCTACGGCAGTCAAGAGTGCAAAAAAGCTTCCATTTCAGAAGCTTCCAAGCCGCGTTCGCAGTGTTCAGTTTCTGACAATCTTTCAATTCTCGAAAAGACACAAGGATGGATTGCGCACTCGTGCTCCATTTTGCACTTTTCCAAACACAAACCTAAATTACCAACTAGGACTGGATCAAACAACCTCATAAATTATTTAAGGCACTTTTGCGCATGGCAAAAGGTGTAAGCCTCTACTCAGGATTCTTGTAGCATCTTCTTAGCAGTACTGACGTAGTGCCCTTACGGTTCCAAACAGTGCCCATAAGTTCTCCCACGCATGACCTAGAAGAAACAGCAAACGACGCGAATATGGACACATGACGCTCAATTTGTCCGAGTAGCTTCTTGCTCCGTTCGTAGCAATGCACGTTGTTCCCAGTAGCTACTTGTTACTAGTAGTAATGCTAGGAGCTACTAGTTGCGTCCGATCGCTCCTAGTAGTAATGGCCTCCGGCCTCCACCTAGTAGCGTCCTTGCTCCTAGTAGCGGGGAATGCCGTGGCGCCACAGGAACTGCAGGGTTTGGCTGTGTTTCTAAGTCGTGGACGTGGAGGACGTGGGGCCGCTACATCGGCAATCACAGGAAGACTTCTGCATGTCAAGTATGTTTCTACATGAAAGCTACTAGAAGTGAGGACGCTACTAGGGGCTCCTGGCCTTGCTACTAGAAGTGAGGACGCTACTAGGGGCTCCTGGCCTTGCTGCTAGAAGTGAGGACGCTACTAGGGGCTCCTGGCCTAGTTACTAGGAGCAAGGACGCTACTAGGGGCTCCTGGCCTTGCTACTACAAGTGAGGACGCTACTAGGGGCTCCTGGCCTTACTACTAGGAGCAAGAAGCTGCTAGCCTAACCTAATGGTCTCCAAACCTAATAGCAATGGCCTCCAACCAAATGCCTTCAAGTTCGTGTACTCTCCCCACTATATGAGACACATCAAATATGCCTCAAGGATGCTCAAGGCAAATAAATATGTTCAGCATGCTGGATGTCACGTCTTTGTGAGACTCGCATTTCGCATGATAGGCAGCCCTTTCTCGAGCCACAACTTGCATGCAGCAAGCACCAACTCCACTTCTCTGAGCAGTTTTCAGTTTTCTAGGAACAAGAAGCTACTAGGAGCAAAGGGCATCGCTACTAGGAGCAAGGACGCTACTAGTAGCTCCTGGCCTTACTACTAGGAGCAAGAAGCTACTAGTATAGCTCCTTTTTCTTTAAAGATCAAAGCTTTCTCTTTGGTTTTAAGGTCTATGCCCTCTTCCTGGGCCCAAAACCGGGGGCTGCAGCCATCGCAGCGCCTGACACCAGCAGCAAAAACACAGAACCGAATGAAAGATGAAAGAAGGACGAAACAAGTCTCAAGCGATGCCCTTTGCTCCCAGTAGCGTCCTTGTTCCTAGTAGTATGGCCAGGAGCGCCCCAAGTAGCGTGCTTGCTCCTAGTAGCGATGCCCTGTGCTGCTAGTAGCGTCCTTGCTCCTAGTCTCAAGGATTCTCAAGGTCTCACAACACACATTGAGGTTGAACCAAAATCCGGTTGTTGTACCTGAAAGCACCCACAAAGCCCGCAGACCTTGGGGCTTAGGGATTGGCAAGCAAACAAATCGCTGATGTTCCAATGCCGCGCTCTTTTGTAACACGAAACTACTATAGTAGCCCCTGGCACTACTACTAGGAGCAAGAAGCTACTAGGGTGGAGGCCGTCGCAAGTAGGTTGGAGGCCATCGCTACTAGTAACAAGAAGCTACTAGGGCCTTAGGGGAAGTGACGCTGACGGAAGATCAGGCCAGTAGAGTCTCTGCCCCTAGTAGCAATGCCCTTTTGTTGCCTCCGGTTCACGTAAGAAAGCGACCAAAGGCCCAGTGCCAGTGAAAGCGCGAGCAAAGCTCGACCGGGGCGTCGCCCCGGCATGACGACCTGTCCCAATCACAAGGTTCAGATTCATTTCACAAGCATCGCTACTAGGAACAAGTGCATTGCTACTAGTAACAAGTGCCTTACCAGTAGTAACAAGAAGCTACTAGGAACAAGTGCAACGCAAAACCCCTCATCTCTCCTCTAGGACTCTCATCGCGGGCCTGATGGGTCAGCCACAGGCCGGTCTCACTGCTGGAACCAAAGCTTAGCTGACGGCCGCTGTGACGGTCGCACGCCTGAAGCGCCTGACGGCCCTGGGTTAGAGCCTGTTTGAAGCGTCCATCTCGAAGTGTCCGTGCCAATTGCATTCTTGTTACTAGTAGTAAGGCACCTGTTACTACTAGCGTGGCACTTGTTACTAATAGCTTCTTGTTACTACTAGTAAGGCACTTGTTACTAGAAGCGATGCACTTGTTACTAGTAGCGATGCATTCATGCAGTGTTCATTCTCGCTTCAATCGGAAGAACAACAAGTAACAAGTAGTTTTCTGCGGAAGTCATGTCCCTGCTTCAAGCTCAAAGCTCGCGCCCCACATAATGAAATAGATGCTCCTGCCTCCAATTTCAGACTGGAGCTTTGACACTATAAGCGTCTAATGTACATTCACACACTTTGTTTGAGAAACGCGGACGCCGACTGGTGTCAGCTTCGTTTCATTGATTCGCGAAAAACATGAGACTCATAGGCTCATCGGTGCATCACGGTGCATCTGCGAATCCCAATCAAAGTGAACACGGACAGGAGGTAGCGATGCCAAGAGCTCCTAGTAGCTTCTTGTTACTAGTAGCGATGCACTTGTTACTACTAGCGAACCTTGTTACTACCAGTAAGGCACCTGTTACTACTAGCGTGAACACGGACAGGAGGTCGCCATTTTCGCTTTCCACCCGTCAAACCCACGTAAGCCCCAGCTGTCCACTCTCAACTCACATATCCTTTGACACGTATGTTCCGCAACATCTTGTAACAAAAAGCGTTAATCTATGCGAGTCACACTTCCAAAGATCTGGGTTGAATGGACATCTCTCCTCACTCGAACATCTCCGAAGCATCTACCTGAATGGCACACTCAACCGACTGTGATGAAGCTCGCTGGCATCTCAAGGGCTGGAACATTCCAGCGATAGTCTGCCATTTCTCGGTAGATGCGCTCCAAGTCAGCCCTTAGAAACTCGAAACTATGCGCATTGTTTCTTTGACATCAAGAAAACAGTAAACACCATGTCTACTGCCTGTAGAAAAAAGAGAAACTAGAGACTTAGGGGTAAAAACACCTAGGACCTATGAAAAGGCCTCTGAGAATACAGTAGTCGATAAGGACACATCCCTACAAATACACATGTATCTGTATATGTATTATCCCATTAGGTTGGAGGCCATCGCTATTAGAAACAAGGACGCTACTAGGAACAAAGGCCATCGCTATTGGGTATATTATCCCAGCCGCACATGTGATAGAGACTTGGTCTCATCAGGTGCACCACGCTTCATATGTGTCTCAGGTCAAATCGTGAGGCGTAGGATCCCCCCCAAAAAAGATACAGAAAAAACACATCTATGAACCGGTGGGTCTAAAGAAAACAATAATAGACTCAATAGACAAGTTGTAACCGTGATATAACATATAGTCCTCTTTCCCGTGCAACTCTCTTGCCGTAAGCCTCACACTCTCTAGACTCTGGCGCCTCGGAGTGTCCCTGGCGAAGTCGAATCAAATGGAACTCTCCAAATAACACAAATTCGCTACTAGGAACAAGTGCATCGCTACTAGTAACAGGTGCATCGCTAGTAGTAACAAGAAGCTATTAGAAACAATAAGCTAGTAGCATCTTTCTAGTAGCGATGGCCTCCAACCTACTAGCGATGGCCTCCACAAAATGCTAAAAACATTGTGTCAAGTTTCCCATAAAGAGCTATACAGAGTGTGAAGCACATGCTATCGCGGAATGTCAAAGGCTACACTTCAAAAAAAAGTAAACACATCGATTGAATTTCCAGTGGACCAACTGGCATGAACTTCCCACCTGAAAACTGATGGTAGAACATTCCTGCAAGTACCTTGAGAACACTCGAACATGCTTCCAGTGACGGTGTGGTGATCAGCTCATCGTTATTTTTTCTCTGGCACTTCTGGAGAAGCAGCTGCTCTTGAACCACAAGTCGCCAGCAAGCAAAGACCTCCAGGTTGTCTTCTTACAATCTAAACACATTTCTTCACATTAGGTTTGGAGGCCATCGCTCTAAGCACATTGACATGTCTTCTTCATATACTTTGAATGCTCCTTCGATTCTATCAGCTTTGCTTCGTTCTAACTGCTCTGCTTCTTGTCTCAATTGTTTCATCTGCATCGTTCTAACTTGCAGGTGGCACTGTGGCGCCTTGCGTAGTTGAGAAACCCGGGCTGCAGCAGTAGAACGCTGAGCTTCATTGCACCAAGCCTGGAACACCATCAAGTTTGCCTGGCGACAAGAGACGTCAAGTGACAACCTTATACCATAAAGGGCATCGCTACTAGGAGCAAGGACGCTACTAGGGGCTCCTGGCCCTACTACTAGGAGCAAGAAGCTACTAGAGAGCAAGGACGCTCTTAGGTTGGAGTGTTCTAGGCCATCGCTAATACCTTAAGTTTCCCGACAATTCTAGGAATCAAACACTAGTCCACACCAAGTAACGCGAGCTATCCTGCGTCCATACTATTAGCTTAAGTAAGCTACTAGCTACCTAGCTACTAGCTATCTACCTCTAGCTAGCTACCTAGCTACTACTAGCTACCTCCTAGCGGCCTACCCCCCTCCACAAAAATAGAAAATAACAACACAGCGCCAAAGAAGGAAGTCTTTACCACGATGGACGTGTTTCGACCCCGTGCGCTTCCGTGAGGCTCTGTGCGAAAACGGCTGTCGACTTGCTTCGGGCAAGTGCAGTACTCGTGTGACTTGGTTCCTAGTAGCTTCTTGTTACTAGTAGTAAGGCCAAGAGCCCCTAGTAGCGTCCTTGCTCCTAGTAGCGACGCCCTTTGTTCCCAGTAGCTTCTTGTTACTAGTAGTAAGGCCAAGAGCCCCTAGTAGCGT